AGCATGGCCAAGTAGCTTTTCAAGCCTATATTTTAAAATAAGCTTTCTTCTTTTCTGTAATTTTTGTTTCTGGACTATCATATATGATAATTGAGCATATAAAAGCTATTAAGTAAATGGAGAGAAAAACAAGAGATTAATTTCCTGGGGCAAGGGACAAATATTTAACTCACTTATTACCTTTCATGTTGAAACAGAAAATGTACATTTTATAAAATCAGGGTGGAATTACTAGACAGCAAAATTATAGCAAGGATCTGGCAGGTTAAATGTGGTTTACAGTTTAAAAAAAAATCCACATATCATTAAGCCACTCACAGGGCAGGGAGAAGGGTCACTTCCCAAAGGCAAAGTCTCTGCTCACAGTATTCTCCTGCAGGTCTCACCCCTGGCACTCCCTAACCAGGCTGATCTGCCTCCTCTGGACTCCCAGAGAGCAGCCTGTCTCCTCGCACCTCCCCACTCCTCATATTGTCTGTTATAACAAACATCCGTTTGTACCACCGAGGTTCCCCAGGTGATATGAGCAGTTTGTCTTCCATTACTAAGCTACAGGTTGGCATTTGAGCCTACTCTCTAAGTTGCTCCTCAGAAAAGGCCTGCCTCCAGCGGGAGCACATCCTCCACAGGGTGCACAACCCAGAAGACCCAAATGAGCAGTCTGCTTTGTGACACGCGGGATTGGTCTGAGTTAGAATCGCCAAATAGACACCAGGTTTTTTTGTGGTGCTTCTGGTTTATCCCATTAGACCATAGTGTTCCAAACTCTTTTGACCTACTTATATACTCACTGAATAGAGTCAGTGCCCCACTGACCATTAAAAACCTTGTGTACTATAGTCCAGTGTCAGACTGGATTGCCTAGAAAAACAAAGCCAATGACACTTATATGGGTATAAGGAAGAGCTTTATTTCAAGAAGTAATTTTATATCAAGAAGGCACCCCAGCCCAGTCCTACCCAAGTCCATAAGGCTGATGGAAGCTGAGGCTATCTTCAGACTCACGTGGTTGTTGTCTGATCAACAGGTGAGGCAGGAAGCAGGAAGATCACAAGCCTTTGGGTGCGGGGTCAGGTGGAGCCCCGGTTGGTGGAAACATGGCAGGGTGTCAACAGGATTGGGTGGTCCACCTGGGACCACTCCAGGCAGAGTCCCGGCAAGCAGGAAGGCAGAGGGTCAGACAGAGAGTTCCCCGTGTCTCTCACTCATGCACAAAAAGGTGTGACACCAAGAAGGTGTCATCAGGCTGAGACCCAGTTGTTCAGAGTGTCGGGTTGACATAGTCCTTAACTCTGACTAGTGCATAATCCAGGTTAAAGTGTGGGTCTCTGGTTTTGCAACCCCCTGGGTGATCCCAGTACTTCCCAGGGGGTGGTATTGCCCACTTTGGGAAACCCTGCACTAGATGATGAATCTCCCAAAGGCAAAGACTCTTGTCTTTCCTTTGTGGGTGCCTCCAACCTGGCCACCTTTCTGACACTCGGCACTTGATCAGTTTCTGTGAGAATCACTGTTTGCTTTGCAACCAAGAAACAAAACCTGGAGAGATGGATTTTTGTTTGTTTTGTGTTGTGGAGAAGAAAGTGTGGTTTGAATCATCATTAAAACAGACAAGGGATAGGTCATTTTCCGGATGGTAGACCCAGCTCTTACCATAGCTCAAAACTCTTTGAACCTCGAAGACGTGACCTCCATTATGATTATGGTTCACGATGAGAGATGAGGGGGCACATTTTGCCTTCTTTCTGGAGTATTCTGGAGTTTCTAGGGAAATTGACTGAGAGGAGAATACAGCAAAGAAAGCAAGCAGGCAGAGAAGTTGGGCGTGAACAAAACTAAACAAATTAGCCTTAAGACGTGAGCATTTTAATCTTTTATTCTGCTCTTTAAAAGGGGGGGTGGGGTTAGAATATCCTATACGTTAGACTTTTTTGCTAAGCAATATGCTAGGTTCTTTGCTAAGCAATTATATGTGCTACTTCAGTAGTTGTCACCTACTACCAAGTCAGTCCCCACGCATGGTTTCCCTGTGCACCAATGGCACTGGATGCTTCCCAGTTCCTGGGCAAGAGTTAGAATCAAACCATGGTGACCCCCAGGTCTTCCAGAATTCTTATTCGTCTTACTCTGGAAGCTCCACTGAAGCTGCGCGCACACACACACACTGCTTGAGTTCGCCTTAGAATGAGCTCATAATACAAGCTCGTACAAATACTGTTGACATTCCCATTCTGTAGTCTTTGAAAAATGGAAGACAGAAAATTGAAACCGGTCGCGTGGTTGGCTCTAGGTCACACAGACATAAGGGGAAGAAGAACTTGCTGCCTTGCGCTTGAGCTGAAGACCTGGCCCAGAGCTGAGCGTTTGCTCGCATTGCTCTGACTCAGAAGGTCAATTCAACAAAGCAAACGGGCCTTGTTGAAAGGCACCTGAATCCTAATCTGGTGGGTCCCCACAATCGATGGTTAACTACCGGAGCCCCCATCCCCCTGGAGATTCTAACTAGTGTGTCTAGGACAGAGCCCAGAAGTCTGCATTTTCCATCCAGTATCTCTCTCAGAGATAATCAATGGAAATGAAGGATCTTCTTGTGGTGATTTGGTAAATCGCATCTTATGCCTTGGGAATGTTTATCATGACAGTTATAAGATACTTGAAGCGGTGGACTGGAAGTGTACGGAATAAATTTCAGTGTGGGTAGAGAGGGGGAGTGTTGATTTGAAAGTTCTACTGCTCTTAAGATACACCTCTCACCTCACACCACAGCAAAGGTCATCTGATATGCTGGGCACTTTAATAACACTAAAAGTCTGACCCAATCTTCACATCCGGAGAAATCAATAAGAAATTAGAAAGCTCTAAGCAAGTTTCGAAGCAATCTGATGTTGGGTTTGGAGGGGGTGGAGTGCATTTTGTTTTGTTTTTTTCTCCAATGTTCACTTCAAGAACCTGCTTGATCCAATCCACTATCCCTCAGAAATACCCTAATTGCTGTATACATACTCAAAAAACCATACTGATTAGCAAAAAATGAGTAGGATTTGAGGTGCTTGATATTTTAAGGTGTTTCTACTAAATTTGAGTGTAAATTAATATTATGCATCTGTCGCTTATAAAAGAGCCCTAGTAGCATAGTGGTTTTTGTGTTGATTGCGCTGCTAACTGCAAGGTCAGCAGTTCGAAACCACCAGGTGCCCTGCGGGAGAAAGATGAGACTTTCTACTCCTATCAAGAGTTAGCGTCAGAAACCCGCAGGGACAGTACTATCTGTACCCTATCATTTGGGGTCACTATGAGTTGGAATCGACCAGATGGCCCTAAATTTTTTGAGAACATATAAAAACTATCAGAATCTGTCTTATCAACAAAACTCTCCAAACCAATTAGTCTTCAAAACCAAATAGCTTGTGAAATCTCTTGATTTTAAAACTTTTGGATGTTAGTTGAAAACACTTGCCAGGCAGGAGCCAGCACAGTCCACTGTGAACACTCTCAGTGGATTCACATCGGTCCCTTCATAAGCCCGGTGGTGGTGTTGTGGCAGTGTAACTGAACACATTCTGCCTCGTCTGATTTTCAAAGGTATCCGTTGCACCTATGAAATCGTCTTTTCCTTATTGCTCTCCAACAACAGTGTCACAAACGTGAAGCATCAGGTGTGTGGTTGTCGGGGGAGCCTGGTCTCGCCACTGCTTGCTCTGAAGGCAGGGCAGCATTGAGGCAGAGCTGCACCATCGGTCAGTATGAAGTGGGTGCTGAAGAAAGGCCAGAATGTCTATTTCCCAAAAATCAGCCATTGGCAACCTTTTGGAACACAGTTTAAGGGTCTCGCTTGAGGCCAATGAAAATGGAGTGTCTGGGAGATGGACATGTTAACATGTGGTTACTAAGACTTCCTGTGCCGATCTGAACAAGGATGGAGACTTAACTCTCAAGGTAGATGAAATATAAAAGCCATGCCCCAGTCCCTAGGACAGGGGAAAAATACTTCAGGCTTTGAAGGCAACGTGATCCCCCTTGCAAATACCCAATTCCGAGACTGGCGTGCAAACGCAGCCTTCAGCAATACGTATGAAGGACTGTGTTCCCCAAACTCTTAATTTACAAAATCAGCCTGCAAGAGAAACAGGTCTGTGGGCTGCAGTTGGCTGGACCCTGAGTGCAGAAAAGACACCGTACAGCATCTCAGGGGTGAGCCTAACAGACAGGGTTTCTTTATCACCTCCTTTTGTAAGAGGAGGCTTTGAAAACCTCTATTTGGACCTAGAACACCAAAGCAGGGTGACTGCAAGGCAGGCCCCTCAGCTTCCCCACAATAGCCAAGAGCTCTCACCCCCTTTCTGCCTTCCCCACACCTGAAGGCCATCCCAGGGGAGTGGGGCCTGACTCGTGGACTGGGACAATGGGAGGGCCCCTGACACCCCCACCCCATCACAGGCCGGAAGGTCTCTCTGGCCAAGGCTGGTAGAAAGAGTGGAACCGTTCTATTTGCTTGTTTGTGGTTGGGGGAGGGAAGCAAGTTGAGCACGACCTCGGGAGAGAGGAATGGCCCGGGCGGATGGTCTGAGTGATGCGGGCAGCTGGGTTCTGTGTACCGGGACAGCCCTTGATGTGACAGATGGGAGAGACCGCCTAGCGAGATCTCTGCGCCTCTCTTCCCTTCCACCTCCTCTGGTTTTCCTCTCAGAAACGCAGCTCTCCGAGAATTGCTCCGGAATAAAATTCCTGGCCTATCGCTGCCCTTCATCCTCACGGTTAATTGGTCCTTGGCAGCTAGTCATTCTCCCACTGGTGAAGGGTGCAGAATAATTTCTGCCAGCCGAGAATTTTTTTTTTAAGCTGTTTTCTTCCACTAAAACGCTTCCTTCAAGTCGGTACAGGCTGTTGGAGCATCCTGGATCAGCCTGCGTGTTGGTGGCCTTCCTGCAAGGGCTTTTTTGTTGTCATTAGTAACAGCCTGCCATTGCCTTGGGTCATGACTAATTTATTTTCGCTACCAGGTACCAGCAGCGCCGAAGTGAAGGAAAACCGAAACGTGGGCAACCTGGAGGCCAAACCGCTGGCTCCCGGCGACAGGGCCCAGGGCGGCGCGCCCAGCATCAAACGCAAACGGCCGCTGGAGGAAGGGAACGGCGGCGGCCACCTGTGCCAAGTGCAGCTGATCTGGCAAAAACTCGCGTGGTCCGTGACGCCCAAGAACGCCCTGGTGCAGCTGCACGAGCTGAAGCCCGGCTTGCAGTACACGATGGTGTCACAGACGGGCCCCGTGCACGCGCCCGTCTTCGCAGTGGCCGTGGAGGTCAACGGGCTGACCTTCGAGGGCACGGGCCCCACCAAAAAGAAAGCCAAGATGCGGGCGGCCGAGCTGGCGCTGCGCTCCTTCGTGCAGTTCCCCAACGCCTGCCAGGCGCACTTCGCCATGGGCAACGGCATGAGCCCGGCCCCGGACTTCACCTCGGACCAGGCCGACTTCCCAGACACGCTGTTCAAGGAGTTCGAGCCCTCGCCGCCCCGCGCCGACTTCGCCGCCTGCCGCCCGGTGGGCACCGACTTGCTCTCGGCCGCCTACCGGCAGGGCCGCTTCCTCTGCCACACGTGGGACCTGGTGGCCCCGGGCAAGGGCGGCCAGTCCCGCGTGGGGCCCCCGGGCGAGCGCCACAAGAACCCCGTGGTGGTGCTCAACGAGCTGCGCCCGGGGCTGCGATACGTCTGCCTCTCGGAGACGGCGGAGAAGCCGCGCGCCAAGCGCTTCGTGATGGCCGTCAGGGTGGACGGGCGGACCTTCGAAGGCTCGGGACGCAGCAAGAAGCTGGCCAAAGGCCAGGCGGCCCAGGCGGCCCTGCAAGCGCTCTTTAACATCCGGCTGCCCAGCCACGGCCCGGGCAGGAGTAGAAGTCGTCTTTTGCCCCAGGTGAGCATCATTCCCAGGTCGCTGCCACTGCAGGTGGAAGAAGGCGAAGATGAATGTGAATGGTGATTGTTCTTGCTGGCACGAGGGGCGTGGGTGGGGGTGAGGGGTGCGGGTGCGGGTGGGGGTGGGGAGCAGCAGTCAGGCCCTCTCCTCCAATTGCTGGAAGGAGATGGCTTCGTCCAAGCACGTTCTTTCCAGAAAGCCAGGCTTCTGCCAAACATACACAAAAGGCCCCCTTTCCTCGCCTTATCATTAAGAGCAATTTTCGGGCTTTTGGGAGGGTGAACTATGCGAAGGTAAAGAAAGGAAAGAGAATGTCAACACCCCGACTCCCCCAAGGTAATGGGAGAATTAATGAGGCCAGGTAATTTTTGTAATGAGGATTCCAGCTACAAGGAAGACACTGGAGCGGGAGATAGAGGGAGAAGAGGGCGGGGTGGGCAAAGTGGTGGTGGTGGTCGTGAGCCCCGGTGCCTTTCTGTTCCGCCAGAGGGTGTTGTGCTGCAGGAAGGGCTGGACGCCGCTCAGCCCTTTCCACGCTTTGATCTCTAAGCACTCTGCTGCGAAAGAATGGGTGATGGGGTACACATGCATTTGTTACATAATGGTTCAGGTTGAACTTCCAACTCAGGAGGACATACAGGGGGGCTGAATAAAGAACGAGCCAGTATGAGGTCTTTCACCTCCTTGATGGCACCGGGATGGATCGCAGCTGCTGTTTTGCAGCTTCAGGACACAGGTTAGGTGGACAACCTTCATGTAGAACCCATTGAGACTTAGAATAAGGGAGTCGGGGACCCAAGACCAAACGGCCTAGGAAGTCAGAAAACAGAATTAGGTGTGAGAAACGTGCTTTTCTCAACAGTATCGCCTCCTGGGCCTTTTCATAGACAATGATGGTTCTGCTTTCTCAAATTGGCTTACTTTCATTCATTCAGCAAAGAGATTAGAGACAGAGAGAAATAGGGAGAGATAGGTATAGGTGTAAGGATAGGTATAGATACAGGTATGGGTATAGATATAGATATTGGTATAATATAGATGATATAGATATATGTACTGTGTTGGTCAGGAGCTGTACTCATCCCATTTTCCAATAACCTTATGCTTCCATGTTCTATAATTGCTTATTTATGCAAATTACTATTTCCTCTTATCATTCTGAAGATTATTTGTGGGCATCGCTAATGTATCAGACACAGAAAATTGTCTTTATTCATTTTTTGCATCAGTCAAGGAACGAAGCATTTTACATAGTTAAAAAGCACTTAGCCCTGTGCGGGATTCATAGTAAGTACTCAATAATTGTACGTTATTACTGTGATTGTTTCATTATTACATCACAACACCTAGAATAGAATCCATTATTTGGCATGGGGAGATGAGCCATCAGTTAAATAAGGCAGGGAACCACCAAGACCTCAGCTCCCCCAGGGGGATATCTTACTGTGATTCAAATTACGCTTCGCATGGAAGGGCCCTCATTTTGAATTAGGACCGGGGGCCCAGGATATCCCTTATTCATTCATTCACTACTCAAGCACAAGGGATACAATGGGCAAAGGATACAATGGTGCTGGGCCTAGTAAGGGAGGAAAACGATGGAAATGGAGCCCTTACGTGGTTTCCAACTCATGGCAATCCCGTGTGTCAGAGCAGAGCTGGACTCCATTGGTCTTCAATGGCCCTTCCCAAAGGTGTCTCTGGATGGAATTGAGCTTCCAGACTTTCCATGAGCCTCCGCATGTGTGAATCCTTTGCACCACCCAAAACTCCTGGTGAAGGAGCTCCCCTATTAAACAAAGGTCGACAATTATGTGATGAGTGTTTCTCCTGGTAGCTGTAGCTTTGGCCCATTCTTTTTCATTTTTCCAGATCCTAATGGAACATTTCATGGCTGTTCTAAGGTAAAGGTTGGCAAGTTGTTGAGATGGAAGAGCCAGTCCTGTCCTTCACAACAACTTTAAAATTATTTGAGAGTCATAAACATATTTTTTATAAACAAATGATATCACCACTATCTGAATAATATCCTTTAGTTGTTCTCAACTTTACTTCAGAGCCCTATGTATGTACCGAAAATGCCACATGTGGCTCACGAGCCACAGTTGGCCAATCGATCTTTGTTCTAAGGAGTGGGCCGGAGCAATTTACACCATCATCTCCAGAGGCTTTGCTTTCTAACCGACCCCAAGTCTAAGGGAAAGCAGAGTGCTGGCAAAGCAAGGGCAGCTTCAATGCAGATCTCTTAGCCTTCCAACTAACGGGATTCCCGTGAGCACCTCCTAGAAAGAAAGGTTGTAGTCATACTTTCTCCTCTCTTAGGAATCTATTTTATCAATTCCCTATTTCCTCTGTGGCTCCACATTCTATATATATAAAAAAAAAAACTCACTGCCATAGAGGTGGTGCCAACTCATAGTGACCCTATCCTGGCCCTCGGTAGAACTGACCCTGTGAGTTTCCGAGACATTAATTCTTCATGGGGTTAGAAAGCCTTGACTTTGAGCCTCAGAGAGGTTGGTGGTATCAAACTTCTGACCTGAAAGTTTGCAGCCCAATGTGTAACCACTATGCCACCAGGGCTCCATCCTCTATCTATAGCACACTCATACCCATAAAGCCAAGGATGGTTGTTCATTGCCGTGGAGTCCATTCTGACTCGTGGCGACCCACTGTAGGCAGAGAACTGCTCCATGGGGTTTTTAAAGCTGTGACCTTTCAGAAACCAATCTCCAGACCCGTCTCCGGAGACACCTCCATGTAGGTTTGAAGGATCAATCCCTTGGTTAGTCATCTAACACGTCACAGTTTCCTTTAGCCAAGGAGTAATAACAACCACACAACCCAAGAAGCCATGTTGTCCTGGTGGGCGCTGTGCAATAGGAAAAGGGTCCCTTCTGAGATGGCCAGTAGCCTCAGTTTCCCTGAGCATGTTTTCTCTGAGAACGCCTCCTGCCCCCAGTGACCTGAAGATTTCCCCCCAACCTCCTTTGCTTTATTCTCACTATCTTAAAACTGACACACGCAGCCTAGCGCTTCACAAAGTGTCTGCCTCCTCTCGCTGGGCTCACCGGATCGGACCTAGTGTTGCTTTGTTTAGTAAGAGCTGCCTTTTCTCTCCCTATCCCCCATCCCTCCATTTCTACTCCTTCTCCAAACTCTCTGGGTGACATTTGAAAGATGTCAGAGAATTCTGGCCGCGATGCCTGTTTCTTTTATGTTGTCAACCCCGAGCTCTCACGATGAAGAAGCTAGGCAGTGCTACTACTTTGTAATGTCATTTGACCCCAGAATACAGCACATCAGTTCAAGCCACCACCACTAAATTATTCTTCTCTGACAGTCCGCTAACCACTCCGACTAGATGATGAAGGGCATGTAGCACAGAGAGGGTTGCGGGCTATTTATCATACCCACTAGCACCTCTGCCATTCCAGAAGGCTCATTATCCTCTTGCCTGCTGCCCCCTCTGAGGTTTTACTCCCCACAGCTAGGTGTGGCTGACCATGACAATAGTAAGCAGGTCCCCTCTGAGCTTTGTTGAATTAGAATCCTGCCTGGGTCCGCTTCCGGATTCAGGGAAGAAAAGAAAAATAACTTAAATTGTGCTTTGCATTCCTGGTTCTGCAACATCACTTCCTTTCAGAGCCCTGTACCATGCTTCCTGCTCACAATGACCTCCTATTTCAATCCATGCCATGCTTCTTAAGGGCTGTAAGTCTCTAAAGGCACGACAAGCCTTTCCTTGTCCTTGCCTTAATGCTTGATTAGCTATTACAGCCTACGAAGCAAACGAGGCATCTTCCAAGCCTTGGTGCGATATTCCAGTCACTTCCCTCCCGTTTTCCCAGAAAAGAGAAAGTTACCCACTCAATACTAAGCAATTGCTTCTACAGGTCAAACTGAGTGACTGACCATCTTGTTCCCCAGTCTACCTCAGACAATACAGTAGCAGCACTGATAGTAGGAGCTATGCCATTTTTGGAACTTGAATATTGACATCTGCTCCAGGTGTTGATCTACACAGGATAGTCTTCTCTGCGAGGAACTCCCAATCGGAGGAGTCTGGTTCTAAGATTTTCATATTGGTTTATAGTTCTATGAAAGTAACCAAGAGGCTGTGTATCTGGGCAATGCTTTTAAGTCATGGTGCCACTCCATGCCTTGAAATCAAGATTATAGGACCAAGATTACGGCAGCACTGTGTTTAAGATTGTTAGTGTTGTTGTTATTGGCCGTCCAGCCAGCGCCCACCCTAGTCTTTAAGACTCTAGCCTAAGATTGGTTGTTGTTAGTTGCCCTTGGGTTAATTCCTACTCACGGTAACACCCCGTGTGGTCAAGATGAATTGTGCTACGTAGGCTATTCAGGTTGTTTCTTTTGGAAGCAGATTGCCTGTCCTGTCTTCTGAGGCACCTCTGGTTTAAGAAACCATAACGTCCCATACAACCCTGTTGTCAAAGCCCTATACAGAACATAGGCATGAGGGTGATCAATGTGATCTAATTATTCAAAATACAGACATTCTTGAAAGAATGGAACAACTACTCCATTGACACGAAATAGTTGTCCGGTGGTAAACATAAGGTTGGATGGACTTCTTTTCCATCCTACTTTAAAAGAAGTTACGTTTAAAAGCATAATATTCTCGGTAAAGAGTTTTGTTTTGTTTTTGCTGTTGTCTCCCTCACAGGCCAAGCTAAGTCTGTCCCTTTAACTTCATGAGCTCTGGCTTTGGATCTTTTACACGAAGCAATGAAACTAAGAGTTTATTAAATTCTTTGAAACCTAGGGCAAACGTTCATGTGTAGTCTATAATCTTAACAGATGGTGTACTCATGCCAGATAGCCTCTAAATATTAGTTGATGATACTAACAAATAAGTACTAGGAAATAGCTAGGAGGATGCTTCCGAATTCTTCACATTTTCTGCCTCTGTACTTAGTAAAAGGAGCCATCGTGGTTCAGGGGGTTAAGCATTGGACTTCTATCCAGAA